ATTCTAAATACACGTCCAAGGAAGTGCACTGAGCGGTCGTTCATCAATTTCTCGTAGCTAGTGAGATCTCCTGTTATTAGTCTCATCAATTGTGTTGGACTATTTCTCTGCCGAGAAATAATCCTTTTGCAAAATCTGATCTGTAGACCAAGTTTGTTTAAGTGATTCAAAAACATGTCGGTAATATCGAGGTCTACCCCAGTAGCAACTACTGAGTAGGAGGGTGTGATGTGGTGGTTTGCTCGGTTTGGTTGTGCTGTCGTTTGATAGTCGGTTTTTTGTAAGTTAAATGCTGTTATTAGGTTGTCTTGTTTTAGGCATTGAAGTGTCTCTGTGGCTTTGTTGTCATAGTTCGTTTTGATTAAAAAGTTGTTGTTACCTTGTTTGATTATGATGTCTTTGTTATTAGGGTTGAGCTCTTCCCAACGGACTGCAAGTTGAACCCGCGTTGTTGTAGGTGTTGAATACACGTCTTATCGGTACGAAGGTTTCGACGCGACTCCTATATAACATATTTTCGCCGTTAGGTCCTTTTAAAGAACTTAGATAGTTGACAAAATGAACAACATATTTTTTACAGAAATTTTCACTTCTCTTAAAAAGTGGTCTTTTATATGACCGTTTACCAAAGGCATTTCGAGTGTTTAACAGGTCAAAAATGTTGTTAATGTTTTTACAAAACTCAACTGTCCCTTCACTTTCTTGAAATGCTGGTATAAGTAAATCCTTGTCACACGATTCTAAAGCATCTGCCACACTTAAGCTAAATATTTGAACAGCAAGTTTTAATTTCATTTTTTCCTTAGAATATTGGATATGCCGGGAGCGTATTCTTGTGGCACAGTGAAGGCCAGATTCATTTTGTAATTTAACTAACTTCCCAAATAGTGCCCATTTAATTATTTTCACCTCGCCGTGTTGTAGATGACCCCAGTCACCCAAGGCGTTCCTACTAACTAACTAACTTTACCATATGGCAAGCATCAAGGATAAGGTATTTTTTTCTTTGTTTACCAAACTTAAAAAATAAGGTTTAATATTGGGAAAATGCAAGTTAGCGCCCATTAAGTGACACATAGCTATATTTGACGCGCATCCATCAAAGGTTAAACTTTTAATGGAAATTCCAGTAGTTCCGCAATGTTGAAGACAATCTTTTACCAATTTTGCCTTTTCTTCACCAGACAATGAATTGATAAGAAAGTAAGCTACTGGCACTTTCCATCTACAATTGTACCCCACCACCATAAAAACCAGCACATTTATAGCTTTTAGTAAAATATCGCTCTCCTGTAAACCTGTTCCAAAGTTTATATACCCAACATGTCTACTTCCTGTCTACAGAACATGCTCTCTAATAGACATTTTATCAAAAATCAAACCAGCCACAAATTTTTTGCTCTTTTGTTCTTTTAACTGAACTTTTCTGTTAATCGCATTTAGTGCCTGCAAACTATACCCTGGAGACCCATCAATGCAGCTATACCATTTTGAGATAATTCTAGGATGTGGCAAAGATTTGATACCAAATATACGACGTACATCCTGGTATGCTGATGATAAATAGAAATTCAAAGTCAAAGCAAATGACCGTAGTTCTGGAGTGTATTTAGCACATGTCCCTTTTTTAGCTGTCTAAACAATATTTCCTTGATGGGATCAGGAAAACTTTCCTAAAAAAGCTTCATTCAAGTTTTACTTATCTGTAATTATAAGTACCTAACTACATCTAAAAAAATAATATTTGTAATAGCATACAGCATCGAATAATCGTGCGTTATGTACCTACTACAAAAACAAATTTACTTATTTACCTTTAATATAACGGACTGGTCTGAAGATAATTTTTGGCTTTTTGTTAATTCATCAATCAGTACATTTAGGTTTTTTATTTTATGTTTGAGTCCACTGATTTTACACTGGTAATATTTGTTCATTTTTCTGTATCTGCCAACAGTTTGATTGGCAATTTTCCAAAATTCCTATCTCTGGAAATTCTAAATCGCTTTCCTGAAAATCTCCAAACACTATTGGATCCCGTTTGTTTCTAAAAACAAAACAAAACATGTTAATATAAAAGTATTTTTTTGTAAGTTGCCAACTTAAAAATGTTGAAGCATTTTCTGTACCTAACAGGCCATATAACCCATATAAATGTAAGAATATGCATATAGGGACATGGAATATATTAAAAACCTAAATAATTAA